TCCTAGCAGATCCTGTATAGCCAGGAGATAAGGATATCTTGCTTTAAGAGCATCGCAGTTTTCTCCGTTAAATTAAGTCTTTTCTTACATTTATCTCGGACGAATTTATTTCTAGATGAAGAAGCTAAAGCACAAATAGAATGTGCTAGTTTTCGTTTATAGGTAGATTTTTAGACTACCACTGTATCATTTATATGTGAAGCGTTTTCACCCTATCTCGTCTAAGGTCAGTAAGGACTGGCAATTGAATTTTTCCACAATGCTATGAGTGGAGCTGACGCTTCCATTGAAGTTCACAGCCTTGTCTTCCAAAAAGATGTTCTCATCCAGGGTGGACTGTAGTTTCGACCTCGCCTAGATCACATCAGGACTCGAACAATGACAGTGCAGCATAAACTACGCCGCATTGCAACTAGTGCCCTCGGGTCACAGGACAGATGTGAAATTCAAGGAAGGCAAGACACTTCTCCATATCACACTTTGTGTTGGATAACCGATGAAGCAACGTTGTGTTTGCTGGAGCAATAGACTACGTTACTTATTTCACTTTATATATAAATGATCTACTGGTAGTCTCAAAATCCTACTTAAAAACGAAAATTAAAGAAACGCAATTGATTGCTCCAGCAAATACAGCATTGTTTCATTGATTGCGATATGAGAAAATACCGTTGCTTTCTTGAAATTCACATCTGTCCTATGACCCAATGTTACTGGTGGCAATGTGGCGCAGTTGCTAATGTGTCGACATTATACGCTGCATTGTTATCGTTCGATCCCGCTGTGGTTGCTGATTAGACCGAGGTAAGGTCGAAACTGCAGTCCATTTTAGCCTGAATGGGAATAACTGTTGAGACTACAAGGTTGTGTGAAATTCACTGGATGCGTAAGATCTGCTCATATCATTCCCCTTACACCTTAAGCGGAATAGAATGTATAAACTTAATGTAGAATGTGCTAGGCCTGATAAGGGCAGAGTATACGAAAGTTTGCGTCTTTTCGATATTAGTAATTTTCGAGCTGATCAGTTGACGACTCAAGAAACTAAGATCTTGAAACACCATGGACCACTTAAGGTGCGTTAAGGACTGATAGTTGAATCTTCCCCAAATGCATTGAATATCACCAAGCATTGACTCCCAAACGTTTTCCTACCCAGGGTGGACTGCAGTTCCGACATTTCTGGAAGAATGACTGAGGAACAGGCAGTAAACTACTACAAGCTACTTAGGGTGAATAAATTATTATTAAATAATTAATGCCAGCTTCTAAGCATATTAACATCGTGATTTTTTTTTAATCATCAATAATTCCATCATTAAAGTATGGTTTGCCTAGAAAGTAACATCTGCTTTTTGAACTACCGTCAAGATAATATATTTCGAGATCAACGCTACTTCTTGAATGACACAAATGTGATTTGTGAAAGGCTTCGATTGCTTTCATAGTCTCATACTCTAGGTTGTGTGGCGGAATGTTATCATATCGCAACCTGACGCGTTTGGGGTACTATGGATGCGTAAGCCATATTGGGAAGTAAGGCAGAGTGAAATTCATTTATGTTTTGAGGACCCGCCATTTTATTTTAGGAAAATCCAACCTTTGGTTCCTAAATCACCTTGAGCGCCATAGTTTATCTCAAATTCCTATCTGAGTGTTGCTAATACATTCAGAAAATACTCACTTTACAAATGTGGAATGAAGTCCGATTTTCTCATGACTCCAAAACAAGTGACCGGTTTCACTTGAAACTTGGCAATACTAAGTGACTGAATATTCTTGGGTCCTGCGAGTTCGGACCTTCCCTTGGGGTTAGATAATTTCTGGCGAACTCATGCCATGCATACTTCTTGCAGGAGGGCAGGTGGACAGCTTCGACTCAGATCTGGATGGCTCAAGACAAGATGAAGAAAAGGAAGAAGCCAGTGCTCGATTAGCAAAAGAGCTTAGTTGATCAGTGGGCAGCCAACTCTCCCGGAACTCGCTGCTTGAAGTTACCATGTCTCAGACACAGTTCACTTTTGTGGCAAAAACTTGCTCAGCAAAATGTGGATACCTTACGACATGGACACTCTTTACCTCAAAAGTCGCATTATTGCTAGAGCCAGAACAGGCTGTGTGAGGCTCCTGCGATCGGTACAGTTTTGTGTAAGCTGTGACGAATGACTATGTCTTTCTATGCAAATCATGTTATCTGCGCACATGCACGAGTGTGTCATTGTGCAGTTTGAGGGAATCGGGAGTCCAATCACGTGGGCATGAGCTTTATGCCTTGGCCAGGCTAAAGCGACCCTTGAGTTCTGCTGTCCGGTGACCCGATTTCTTAAACGTAAACAGTCGTCTACGTAGCAGCGACTTTGAGGGTGGGGTATTAGGATCGGCCACGGTTACCAGAGTACCATCTGTGAACAGTGCTCTGATGTATCAGAATTGATCACAATCGTCAAGTTGAATGGCCAAAAATTCACCCTTTGGCCTAACGTGTGTGCGCCATTTTGATACACTCTCTCTCTCTCTCTCTCTCTCTCCTTCCTCCATTTACACATGTCCGCGCAAACATAAACAACAATAAAAACGCAAACAGAAATACTTGCATGCAAACATCACATTCACACCTAATCGTGCTTAGTTTCTTTTGCCTTTAGGTCGGTTCAATTGCGAACGATCCCGCAGTTACATCCGACCTGCCCTGAGGACCTGATTTTTAAGCTGAACATATTCGCGCATCCTTGACCACTCTAGCGTTTCCACCACTTCACAGCTCATCCTCGCGATGCCAGGTTCCCGATGCCGACAAAATTACCACGAAGAGTGCGAGGCCGGCATTAACCGACAGATCAACATGGAACTGGCGGCCAGCTATTCCTATTTGGCGCTGTACGCTTACTTCGGTCGTGATGATGTGGCTCTGACGAACGCGGCAAAGTTCTTCAAGAAGGCATCCCATGAAGAGACGGAGCATGCGGAGAAGTTGATTGATTATCAACTGTTGCGTGGAGGCCGAGTGAAGTACCAGGAAATAAAAGCTCCTGTCGTTAGAGCGGTTGACTCTCTGAAGGCGGCTCTTGAGTTGGCGATCGTGTTGGAGAAAGAGGTCAACGAGGTAAGTGCCGATGCCAATCACAGTTGGCTAGAGGGCCAACTACACGTAATTTGTATCATTTGAGCGTTTATCCGTTTATCCATTATAAATTGGCGGGCCTTTCTATTTGAAGCAAGGCCTAAACTATCAAGTTTAGGTGGATAAGGAAATTAAAGCACATTTGGAATGTGCTAGCCCTTACGAAATAGAGTTATCGAAGGTATGAAGACC